TGTGCCTCACTGTAATTGTTTTTTTTCTCTATATAGTCATTTTGTGGCGCCTATTTTTTATTTTTTATTTTTTAGAAACTTAATTTCTTTATTTGTATTTGTTTGTAGTTATTTTGCATCTCTGTAGTCACTGTGTCTCTCCTTGTGGTTACGTTGTGTATCTTTATAGTCTGTATAGTCAGGTACCTTAAACATGGCATGACTGACTGCATCATGAGAAAAAACGCAAAGGCTTTCGATAGAATGATAAGATAGAATACAAATCAGCTGTAAATACGAGTTTAATTAATGCCCAATGAATTAAAATCTAATAAGAATAATAAGAATGAAAAATATGACCAAAGAATAAAACAGTGCGGGAAAAAAAGACTTTTGCTGATTTAGCTGTTTGTACAGCCATACATGTCAACTATGAACCGCATCTGGATGGATGGGAATTTTCAGTTTGACTCACAGTTTGACAAAAATAAACCAAACAAAACAAAAACTCTGAAGTTACATTTTCTTAGTTTGTCATTCTTTCTGTAAAAAAAAATGTGTATATATATACACTACCGGTCAAAAGTTTTAGAACACCCTAATTTTTCCAGTTATTTATTGCAATTCAAGTTGTGCAAGTCCAATGAATAGCTTGAAATGGTACAAAGGTAAGTACTGAACAGCCAGAGGTTTAAAAAAAAAGGTTTGGTTACACAAAACCGAAAAATAATGTACATTTCAGAATTATACAAAAAGGCCTTATCCAGGAAACACGAAGTGGGTTAACAATTTAAAGCTGTTCTGCAGCAGTGAAGGTTGAAAAAGCCTTGAAAGCTGGTGCTACTAATTCCTACAGGTGTTCCAACTTTTCTTGATTACATACAACCCCGTCTGTCTCCATAAAAGCAGTGTTGGAGCACACTGTAGTACCAGATCCTCATGAGCATCAGCTGAACAGTATTGTACTGCAGAAAGTAGTGTGTTGCTACAAAAATGGCGAGAAAAAGGCAATTAACAATGGAAGAGAGACAGACCATCATAACACTTAAAGATGGAGGTCTTTCCTACAGGGAAA